TTGTCATATTAGGGTTCGAATAGCCCTCTAACAGTTTGCATAAGATATCTGTAAAGAACGTGTTCTTACCTGTTCCTTGTTTTCCAATTATAATGAGAGCAGTTTCATTCTTAGCACTTGGATGTTGTAAGATGTTTGCAAACCAACATAAGATATACTCATAAACCTTTTCGTTTCCATTGCATATAATTTCTTTGACATGGTCTAACCAAGCTTCTATAATATTTTCTTTCCATTCTACTTGTTCGTATTTATATCCAGTGAAGATAGAATAGAAGTTTGGAGAAGGTGTATAGAACTTTATACCACGAACTGAAAAATCTTCTAACTTTGACAATAAGATATCCCAAGCATCTAACATCTTCATGCCAACTTGTACAACTTTTATTTTCTTAAGTTTCTGTCTACATTCTTGTTCTGAAACTATTGTCGCTTTAGGTTTGTTAAAGACAACATCCCATTCTTTCATAACATAACATTCTGGGCAGAGTCGACATAAATGACTAAACGTTTCAAATTCTCGACTGCTTTGTTATAGTCTCTAAATGGACACATATTTCTGAACGCTTGGAAGTCATAAAAATCTGAAACGTCTATTCTGTACATTTTTATAAAAATAAAAAAAAATATTTTTTATTCTTGACTTTGTTGTTCTTGCATTTGTTGCATTTGTTGTTCTTGAGCTATTTGTTGTTGAAGTTGTTCTTGTAGTACAATACTTTCACCAGTTGCATCTTCCAATTCGAAACTTTCTGCCGTCATTGACAAATACATAGGACATAAAAGTTTTACAGGAACAAAGTTTGCGTCAACTAAGGTTAAGTTTATGTTTGCTAAAGTGTTTGAGTTTACTAAAGCTGAAAACTCTGCATTCGAATGAACAATAGGCAAACCAGCAGAGAAAGTGTTGTTTATACGCATGAGTATCTTTTGGTCATAGTAGTTTCTGTCGACATTCGAATAGCACTTTGAACCTAAGTTTGAAACAATATATAAAATAGGTGTACTTAAAGTCAATGGAATAGACATTCCTTGTATGACACCTTTTCCTGTTATAGGAAACTGTTGGTAGTAAAAACCAGATATAAGTTTTGTATTATAGCTCATATCGTTTATAGTAAACTCAGTCGGACATCCAAACATAATGAAACCTGCTCTAGTTGCAGCACATGTTACATCCGTCCTTAAAGTATTAAATAAGTCAACAAAACCTGTTGGTGGTATATCTGAGTAAGTATCTTCAAAGAAGTATTTTTTACCATTCACAACAACAAAGTCTTCTGGTGTCAAAAGAGCAAAACAGGCTTTAGTCGTCATTGTGTTTAAGGTTAGTTTACAATATCGTCCTTGAGGACTTTGTAAGTTTGTTGTTATAGAATTATATGACTCAGGGTTTTTAGTCGTAATAGTATAAACCACTATGTCTTCTGCCATTTACTTAGCAATAAATTTTAATGAAATGTTGTGGTCGTCAAATATTTTTATGACGTCTGGGAAACTATATTTTAAGTTCAACGTTTCACCTCCTTTCATAACGTATATCTTGTCAATGACATTATATGAAACACCACAGCAAGCAATGTCGGGTTCTATTTCTTTGATGTTTATATCGTCTGCCTCTGTCAAAAGTTTCAATAGTTCTTTCAAAACTTCATGAGGTGCGATGACATATGAGTTCACTTTTACAGGGTTGTGCTCGACCAAGTTTAACATTATACCCAAAGCTTGACAAATCTTCTCCTGAGTTTTAAGTTTGTCTTTAAGTTGTTGGTAGTCGTTTCGAATATCTGCAACAGAACTTAAGTCTCTGCTAACTTCAGGGTATGTTGGTTGTTCTTTTACAGGAACTATTGTTATACCATCTTCGTCTTCGTATGGTTTCCCCACTTCAACATCTCTTTCTTTGACATTGACAACAACACTTTGACTGTTTGTTTGAGTTGGTGAATTTAACTTCACATCTGCCACCGCCATTAAACCTTTTGAAACACTACGCTTCTATTTTTCGGAAATGACATTTTACTTAGAATAAAAAGATGGACGTATTTGAGTATCTCTTCGAATTGAAGCAAACAAAGTTTACACACACAAACAATACAAGTTCATTGACAGAATAGTTCTTTACACAAACAATGGAAAATGTTATAGAATAGCAGTCTTTGCTGAACCAAAATATTTTCATAAAGCAAAGAAAGTTGGTATAACCGAGATGGTGAAAGTTCTTGAAGGACAAAAATATAACAACAAAACTGACCGATATTTCTAAAGGTAAGTTTATAATACAATATTATGTCAAAACTGGCGTACTGTCAATATTTGACGGAGAGAAGTCAGTTCAAGAACAACTTCTGACCTGCTGCAAAATCTGCTCGATGGAAGCTGTCGTTATGCCAATCTGAGGACCCAGCAGGTTCATCGAACGAATCTTCAAAAGAGCATCTTCCGTGAAAAGTGCTATTGGTTTTGTAAACTTCTTTGCTTTCAATTCATCTGACGTCTCTGTCACCAGTATATTGTATTTGAACTGTACCAACAGTTGAAATACCACCCATAAAGTCTTCTGAGTCAGCAAATGGAATGCCAAGCCAAAAAGTTTGAACGGTCTCCATTTGTATATTGAGTTTTTTGACCTCCTGTATGAGTCCATACTTTCACATATGGCATAATAGAACTTTGCATTTCAGGGTTAATGGTTGTTGTGAAGTTGTTGTTAAAGTTCATAGCATCTAATGTCAAGTTGTATGACCTCATATCCTCAACTGTAGAATATTCTTCTCTTGGATAGTATTTGCCATCTATGTTTATATGATATTTAATACCAGGGTTGTAGAAGCAAGAATAGTCATTTATAGTTCGTCTGAACAGTACAAACATAGTATCTGCATGTTTCATTGCAGTTGTTAAGGCAATATCTGTTCTTGCACCTGGTTAGCACTTTGGTTTCCAACTTCACCTGCAAAGTCTTTGACAGATATTTGGTGTATAGGGAACATAAGTGGAACTGCAATATATTTGGCAGCTAAAGCATTTGAAATATCTGGGTCCAACATATAGACTGCAAGTCTGCTTTCTATTCTCTTGCATTCAAATTTTTCGCATGTGAACCTAACTGGGTCCCAAGCAGTTCCAGCAGCATTGAAATAATACTTTACTTCAGTGTTGAGGTTTGAGAAACCAAAGTCTAAGTCAACTTTGTCTTTGCAAAATTCGGCGAATGACGTTTGATTTGCTCCCTTTACGTCTGTAAGAGTGAATGGGTCTTGCGTTGGTGCAATGACTAAGTTATTTTTGCTTGGAGTAAGTTCGATAGAAATTTTTCCTGCCCAGTTTGGCAAGTATCTTAAAAACCTGAAGATGAGGAAAGATGACAAAGGAACTCTAAGTTTCAGTTTTACTTTAGTGACAGCATTTCCATCTGAACCAGAAAGGTTAACATAAACTCCTGGAACGTTAGGGTCAAGTCTTCTTATTTTCTCAATAGTTGCATACTGGTCTGTTTGTTCTCTAGCTTGTGGTTGTACTGAGTTTCTCAAAGCGAACCATTCATAGTTTGCCCATGTTACTGTTTGAACTAAGTCAGAGTTAGAATATATCTTATATCCCATAAAAACTTCTGGAGCATATTGGTATCCGACATAGAAAATTCCATTGCAACCTTTCTTGTCAGACAACTTGGCAGAAGGTTTTATTTCAATGTCTTGTTCCACGTATAAGAAAGAGTTGTCAATAGAAATAATATGAAACCTGTCGCAAGCAATATCTACTGTTGTTGAAGAACCTTCTCCAAACTCACCTACGTTTCCATAAGAAACAGCAGTTGTATATTCGTAAGTTCCAGGAACTATTTCTGACCTTCTAATGGCATTGTCGCATTCGTTATACCATTCGGAAACATTTCCATTCATAGCATCCAAAACTGTTGGCGTTATATTCTGAGCGGCGTACATTTCATATGAGTAAAAATATAGAATAGTTGGATTTATATGTCATAATAGAACCCACTCCGACCAAGCTTTACTTTCTTCCTGACTGAGTTTTTAACTCTTCTTTTTCCTTCATTGCCCTCTGCTTGAAGTTGTTGCATCTTTGCATTATGTTCATCTAGTATGTTGCAAATTTTCCATGTCCTTTTTGCCTTTTGGCTCTGGTCGCCCATCTCAGGTAACCTATATCCTAGAAAGAGTTTGTCATAGTCTGTATTTGAGTCTTCCTTTATTGTTTGCATGACTCTTTCCTGAGTTTCAGGTTCAAGCTCTTCAAACAGTGCCTGTCCATATGGAATATGCTCGTTTCCAAATATATGTTTTTGTAGCCATTCTGGTTTTCTTTCCATGTTACCAACAATATCTTTTGTGAATGGGAAAGCTTTTACCCAATCTTTCAGTCTTTCGTCATTTATTTCTGTAGTTGGTTTTATTTTGTCAAGGAACATGTTTTTCAATACTAACATTTCATTTGGTACTGTCCATTTGAGTTTTCTTAAATATTCATCCCTTCTCGGTTCATTGTCTGCAAAGTAAGTTTTTATGACATTTTGTAAACTTTCGTTTGCAAGGTCATGTACAATAGGTTCTCTTCCTTCTCTCTCCCTAACTTTCTTTCTAAACTCTTCACCAAATATACCATCTCTATGGTTCTGTGTAGTTCTTTGAGATAAATGTTCTAGAACGTCAGGTGTTATATTTCCATCAGCCATGTTCATTTCATACTGTCCAAAATATCTGCATCTTTCATATCTTTCAATGGCATTAAAGCCGCGCTGAAAATACCAGCTATATCTCGTTCACCATTCGCTTCCATTGCGTCTACAACTTCTTGGAATTGAGGTTGTAAGTTTATGAACCACCTATCCGAATTAGCTTTATGACCCCATCTCATTGTAGTTCCATCGTCTGCAGAAACAAAAGTAGGTTTGTTTCCATCTTGGTTAGGTTCTGAATGAACTTTAAACAATGTTTCATTTCTATATGTTTTCTTGAAATTTAACCTTTTATTTTCACCGAGTTCATCCGAAGATTGAACGTTAAATGCTCGTAAGTAAAAAGGGTTGTTGTATTTGTGTACATTTTCTTTCAGTGCTTCCATTCTATGCTGAATATTTTCATCTGGTGCTGGAGTCTTTTGTATGTCGGCGAACATTTTTCGATATTCTTCTACTATGTCAGCCGAATTTTTTTTAGACTCTTGGAAATATTCCATATTCTCCGCATACTCTTGTTGAGGGTCAAGATTTTTCGGCTGTTCCAAATCTTCATCTAGTTCTGTGAAGTTAGTTTCCAAAGGAGTGACTTGTTCGTTTCCTTCAGGCTCTTCTAGCTGTTGTTGCTGAACTATTTCTTCCATGTCTGGTTGTATCTGAACTATTTCTTCCTGTGGAGTTTCTTGTACCTCATCTGCTGGCATTTCATATATTCCGAGACCGTTTTTAACAATTTCCCTATCTACGTCATCCGCATTCATAAGCTTTTGTTCTTTCGTTCCGTCTCTATTTTTTACGCGTTTCATGACGAAAGTTGAATTGTCATTTAGCTCTGACATCAAATATCTCGGAGTAAATTCATCCATGTCATTTGGATGATATGCTATTAAATCATATCCCTTAGCGAGCTTGTATTTTCCAGGTTTGAGATTATATCCGTTTTGGTGCTGAGCCATAAAGCTAAATAGGTTCGGGTCAGTATTTCCATCCTTGAACTTTCCAATAGCTTCTTTATATCTGTCACTAAAGTCAACAGTATCTGGGAAACCACACTCTTCTTTAAGCATTTTTAAGAATTCTTGGTTTCCTTGTTCTCTACTTCTTTTATGTCCTTGCTCTGTTTGTGGTTGTTGTTGTGCAGGGTTTTGAACTGTTGGTTGTTGTGTTGGTTGTTGTGTTGGTTGTTGTGTTGGTTGTTGTGTTGGTTGTTGTGTTGGTTGTTGTGTTGGTTTTGGTGCATGCCTGTGTCTGTGTCCATGTGACGATGTAAATGTTTTAGGTAGTCCTGGTGCAGGTGCTTCTCTTGGAGGGTTTGGTGGTATATAAGTTCCACCAGCTGGCACATATGTTCCATCTGCAGCGTAATGTCCTACCTGACTTTTCGTTTTTAAGAAAGCATTTACTAGGTCTGTTTTGGTCTGTTGTAACTCTTTTTCTTGACTTTCCACAACAGTTGCTCTAACGGCGTCATAGGCACTTTGAACTGCCTGTCTCGTTGCTGCATCTGTTATTTTCGTCATATTTTGTGCTACTTCTTTTAACTCTTTGTCGAAACCTTCAGACTTCAGTTTCTTTCCAGATGAGAAGTCGTTCACTAGTTTCACCTTACTATGAAGAGCTTCGAAGGCGTTCTTAAAGTCAGCATTCATTAAAGCTTCATTTGAACTGTCTTCATCCGCTTGTATTTTTGTCCTTATTGACCCATAAGTTGGGCTGCTTTGGCGTTGGCTTGGGCATCTAACCAGTCATTGTTGGCTTTTATATATTCTGCGCTTTTCATTGCCTTTTGCATGGCTGCGTCGTTATTTTTACTTTCTTGTGCTAAGTTTTCATACTGTACGGTTTGGTTTTGCAACTGTAAAAGTTTTTCTGCCTTTACATTTGCTTCAACTTCTTTTTATACTCATCGCTATCCATATATGTCTTCAGGGCTTTTTGTTTTATTTCTTCATCTTTCAGTACTTTATATTGAGTAGTATGGTTTTTCAAATTTATAACATCTTGTTCCATTTTTGCTACTTCTGCTGCTTTTTCTGACACTTTTTTCGCATATTCCTCTGTACTTAGTTCTTTCAGTTGTTCTTCTTTCTTCTTTTTCTCTACGTTTAACTCATTGAGTTTCTTTGTCTGTCTGTCATATTCTAGTTTCTTTTCGTTTTCACTTATTTGTTTCTGTATGTCTATGTTTGACTTTTTGACATCTGTTATTTGATTTTTGAGTGAACTCAAATTCATTTGACTTTGAGGGTTATAAGCTGTTCCGTCTGCAGCTCCACCATAGCCTGCCATTTTCGCTAAAAGTGCCGCTCTTAAACCTCCACTCTGTGCACCAATAACTCGGTTTAAAAGCATAGGGTTGCTTGACATTTGTTGCAACATAGTGGGGTCATTCATCATTTGTTGTTGCAACTGTTGTTGTGGTGTCAGTTTTACTATTGGATGTTTCAATGCTCTCTTCCTCTTACGTATATTCTTACGTAGCTTACGTGGCATTTTAAGTGAAGTTAAAAAGCGGTTTTTGACAGATGTTTATATGACACTTTTTGTTCAGCACAAAAAACTACTCGGTCAAAGTGTTGTCAGTTTTGTAAAATAACCGTCCTATCTCATTCTATAAGGGAAAAAGGCTTCTCAAAGTATACTTCCTTGGAACGCCTGTAACTTTTCCTGTAGCGACGATAGACCCTTACTTGTTCGGACAAAGTTATACTATTTTGAGTGCTCTACAAAAAAGTCAACGGCGACGACTCTCAAAAACCGTTGTGTAAAAAGTTTTACCGTTGGACAAAAAGTATATATAGAAAACAAAAAACGTTTATAGTTCATTCAATATTTGAGATGGAACGGTTTGCCAACGGTAACTATTAAATAAAATAAAAAAATAGAGGGGGTCTCCGTTGACGAAAACGGTTTATTTTAAACTTTTCTATGAGTAGTCCGAAAAAAACAGTTTATTTTTGTCTAATGGAAGCCAACATTAACAATTCTCAACCGCTAACCAAAGCCAAAGCCCCACAACCTCCAAGAACCGGCACAGCGGTTAGAATAACCACCAAAAAGTCTAACAGCGAATTAAGAGAAATTCTTCAACAAATTTGCTCTAAATATCTCAAAGACGCCGAAGAAAATACACAACCAGACGCTACATACAATACTCAGTTCTGTGAAGTTCTGAACAAAGCAATTGCTAGTTCAATTGAACTTACTAAGACAATTCCAAGTCCAATTGAGCTTAGCGATGTCTTAGTTCAGTATTTTCCAACATTTACTAAGCTTATAATGTTGAGAACTTTATACCAAGTTCGTCAAAATCTTCCTCGTAACATCCAACGGTCATTCGACAAGACAATTGCCGAATTCCAAGTCTTTAGTTACGGATATGACCAAGATGAATACGTTGACGAGTTCGGAGACAACTGTACAAAATGGTTTGAATGCTATACGACAACACAATTTGAATTCGACTTTCTCGAATTCAACGCAGCAACCATTTATATCATTGCTCTTTACCTTTCCGAACAACAACAAGACCTCGCAGATGGAGATGTTGTTACTGTCGTCATGGAAACTCCTGAACAATTCGGAAAAAAAGAAGTCTCTAATTGCCAAATTTGTTCCAGGACATCAGCTTTTCCAACGCACAGAAGTCTTCTGTATTCCTGGAACTAAGTTCTTTGTCAAGAGCGAACTCAAACAAAGATATAATGTGTCATTCAATTACACATTATATAATGTTTTCGACCCAGAAGAAGACTTCTTCCCAGAAGCAATGGAAGAGGAAGAAGAAGAGAAACACGAAGAAGAGAAACACGAAGAGTCCTCCGAATTCACACCAGAAGACTAACAATTTTCCGAATAAAAACCTCATTTTATACTAAACATCTTCGGGGCTAGAAGGGGCGCAGCCCCTGGAAGCCCCACTACCTTTTTTTTTTTTTTTTTTTTTTTTTTTTTCATTCATATTTTAAACTTCACATCCAATTAGAATGCAATTCTAGTCATAAGGATAATCTTATCCGTAAAAGAAACCCAAACAGATTCTAATAATAGAGTAGAAGTTTTAAATGCAAATTCAAAACAACATCTACCAAACGCATTTTAACAAATCGTGTTACTAGAAAGAATGAATTTAATTTTAATTTTTCATTGTTTAATTGTATTTTCAACATTGATGCATTTGACACAATATCTTTACTCTTCACAGCAGCATCCAACTTCGTAACAGCAGCCAGGTCTAACAAAATATCCTTTGATATTGAACTTTTTGTTTGTAAGAGAGAATGTAATGTAAGGATGTTCATCATAACTGCGGCCACAGTTGGAACTCCAATCATAACTCTTGTCCCAAGGATAAATTACGTATTCTGGTTTTGGAAGTTGCTTTGTACCGTTAATGTACTGCTTAGAAGAACCACGTACATCCAAAACAATAATCCTATCAGAGTAAACACGTTTAAAAATTCCATTTATCTCTTGACATTTCCCAAACAAAAATCAAAAAATTCATATAGTCACTTTTCAGGCAATATAGTATTTAAATTAATTTTATTAAATTCAATTTTTCACTAATATTTTACGATACAAATAAAGAGAAATTATATATAAGCTTTGACTGAATGAGTATATGAGATATTGATATGAGAATGCAAGTTAAATCGCAATTTTATTAAGTGCCTGAAAGTGAAGTGAAAGCAATTATAAAAGGATCACTTTTCAAGCTCATAAAATCATTTTTATTATGATTTACTTATATGAGTATAAACCTTAAGTGATTATGTATCATTAATATCATGTTTATGAATATAAGGTTATCAAAAACTTACAAAATCATTCAAAATTTTAAAAATCTGGAAGGGAAAAAGTGCATTTTTCTCAATATATGAGAATTGAAAATAAAATTTGTTGATGAATATAGTTAAATGACATATTTATGTTTGAAAGCAAATTATAATAAAATTTATACACTTAAGTGAATTGAATATGGATTATGTGTATAGCATTGTGTATACGGCTAAAGATGGTTTGATGTTATCAGAACGCCCAACCTCTCGACTTTTATTGACATTTGTAGCAGCTCAGAACATAATATCAAACAAAACAATTAGACATTTTTTCTATACTTATAAATTTAGTGATTCCGCATTTATCTATAGGTATTATCGAAAAAATCTATACATATCGTTGATTCCGGTGATATATCTCTGGAGTTCGGGAGTATTTTCGGCATCACGCTGGACTTCTTCCAACATTAAGGCGATCTCTTCATGTTGATCGCCTTCTGACTCAAAAGTATGTATTATTATAAATAGCATTATAAATATCTAACATTTTCACTCGTATATAAATTTAATAATATCAAACAAAACAATTTTATTAATATTTATTCAGTGGTGTAATCAATTTAACATGTGGCGTCTTGGGTTTAGTAAGTCGCATAGAAGGAACCATCATGGATGTCTTTTTAGTTCTATATGATTGTGGTTGTTCAATTTTAACTGTCAAATCAGATGTACTATCAATATCCCTTGTTTCTTTCTGAGGTTCGACATTAGAAACCCAGCCACCACCAAGTGTCGGGGTCAGTGCATTTCCTTGTGTGATGAACCATCCATCACTAACTTGTTGATTTTGTTGCTGTTGAATCTGGTTCATCTTCATAGAAACAATATTCGAACGAGATCTGATGACAGCTGTAGCTCCTCTTTTTTCAGTAACTTTACCACGAAGTTGATCGATTGATGAAATAGATCTATACATCTCTGTCTGGTTTCCACCAATTTGTTCTCGCATAGTTTTCATCTGTTCGTCTTTCATCTCAATATCTTTTTTGTAAATTTCAATTCGATTCAAAACTTCACTTTTTGACAAACTTTCTGAAAGTTTCTTCTTCATTTCAGCCAAAGATTTTTGCAATGTTTCTTTCTCTTTAGTTAGTTCAATCAACATATTATGTGCACGATCAATCTTTCCTGTAACTTCTGCTCTATATCTCAGATTTGATGCATATTGTGGATCAACAGCAGAAATTACTTCCCAGCGATGAACATTTCTTGGAACAGAAAATTCATGGAGAAGTGCTGAATATTTTTGTCTTTCGAGAAGCAAATCAGTTTGGATCTGTTTGAGTTCGTATTTTCTTTGTTTAACTTTATCTCTTCTTTCTTCAAGAGTTTGTGTTCTATTATCAAGACTATCAAGTTCATTTCGAAAATCAACAAGTTGTTGTAATTTAGAAACATAAACTTCTCTTGATTTATTAATATGTCTTTCAATTGTAAGAATATCTGATCGAATTTCTTCAATCTTTACATCACGTTCGTGAATTGCTTTTCTTGACAATTCGATGTTTCCTATTGTTGTTGCTGTTTCTTTTTTAATTTGAAGTCTGTCATGTTCTGATTCTGTTAATATGAAATCCAAAGTTTGTCTTTGAGTTTGAAGACGAGAAATGACACGTTCCATTGATAATGTATCATTTCTTAATCTTTCATTTGTTTTCTCGATATCATCATTTGTTGAATTTGTCAATCTACATTGTAAATGATCATTAATTGTATTATTAACAAAAACTTTAGCATCAGATTTATTTTGTGTTATTTCATTATCTAATATTTTAATTTGTTCAATTAAATTTTCATTTTCTTCAGTAACAGAAACTAATTTTCTTTTCAAATCATTTCTTTCTTTTCTTAATTGGTCACTTAAATCATTTTGATGACTTTGTTTTTCATTGTATTCATCAAGTTCTTCTTGATGAGCTCTACTTTGTAACAAGATTTGATTATTCGCATCTAACGACATCTGTGCTTTTGCTTGGAACTGCATTGTTAAGCTTCTTTGTTGATCAACTTCGTCAAATAACAACAAAATTGATTCTTTTAATTTTTGTAAATCTTCTTTTAAGAAAACTGTTTCTGTTCTTATATTTTTACCTTGTTCTTTAACTTCATGAGTATTTAATCTCTCTTCTAATATATTCTTTCGCTCTACTTCAATACCCATAATTGTGGAAACATTCTTTCTTTCCGTTTGTGAAATGTCGTTTTGACTTTTTGCAACATTAAATGATTTATCAATTAATGTTGATCGAAGTTGTCTGGATTGTCTTTTTACTTCTCCTTTCTTTGCGGCTAATTCTTGTGATTCTTTTTGTACATTATCATACTCTATTTGCGTATTCTCTGTTTCATTAACAATATGTGCAAATTTATTTTGTAAATCTTTGATTTCGTCCATACTTTTGTCAATTTTCTCTTTGGAGTGTAAACATTCATCTTTTCTGATACTGGATTTGTTTTTAAGCTCGATAAGTAATTTTGATCTCGTTAAAATGCGATCTTTAGTTGCATGATTCTTATCTTTAAGTACATTTAACGTAGATATCATTTCGTAACGTTTATTTCGTAAATCAGTGTTGGTGTCTGTATTTTGGATCTTCTTTCGCTTCCCTTCTTCGAAATCTTGTTTTGATTGCTGATGTATTGGTTTTAATCGTAAAATTTCGTCTGAAGTTGATGAAACTACATTTGTTAGTTCTTCTAAGTTAGCATATATTGTTGCTAGCGTTTTATTTAGACTTTGTTCTGTATTTGTTAAATTTTCGATTTCGGAATGTAAATCATTGAAAGAATTAGTTGTTTCTTGTATTTGTCGTTGAAGATCTTTGATTGTGTTCGCATCGCGCTCCTTTTCTTGTTTTAATTTTTTAACTTCTTCAGCAATTTCTGCCAAAGAATTTTCGTCACCATAAGAGAATGCAGCACCATGCTTTACTTGCTCTGAAAGCTGTGTGACTGTATCTCTAAGAGTAACGATATAAGATTTCGATTTTTCTTCAGATTCGTGAATTTGCTTGATGATTTTAGTAGCTTCTTCGTATTTAACTTTTAACTCATCTAGATTATCTTTGTTGTTTAATGTTGCATTTAGGATTGCTTTGATTTTTGAAGCGTTAAGGACTACATTTGCCGTTTGTTCTTGACACTTCTGTAGTAATTCAACATTTTTCCTATATGTATTATCAAAAAATCTATACATGTCATTGATTCCGGTGATATATCTCTGGAGTTCGGGAGTATTTTCGGCATCACGCTGGACTTCTTCCAACATTAAGGCGATCTCTTCATGCTGATCGCCTTCTGACTCAAAAGTAGGCATACATTTCACTTCTCTCTTTTCCATACTTTTTTGCTGTACGTTATTATTCATGAAATTTTCTTCAACTGTCTCTCTTAATATCATTAATATCATTGTAAATATCTGGAAAACATTTTTACTCGTATAACTTATCAGAAATTTCTCAACAAACTCAATAAAATTTTTATTATAGCCTTTGTATTAAGTTCGGTAGTTATGAATCGTAATGTTTGTGTATTCTATTAAATATCCTTATGTGAATGACTGCTGAATACATATTTTATTTTGACAAATTTTATTTCAACAATAAATGAACAAAATGTAAGTAAAGATTTCTCTTTTCGCAAATTTCCTTTAATATTTCTGATCCTCTGTAGCAACACGGTAAAAAATTTTTCAATGATAGATTTTGTCCTTTATTACATGGCATTTATATGGTACAATCAGTAAATTGTAAACAATACTATCGAAGTAATGCTAATAAATATGGATTTGCACCATGATTTGTCATCAATTTTTTTAAGTGAATCGATTACGTATACGCGTTTAAATCCAATGATACCTCTAAGAAACTTATACATATTCAAGGTCAGTACCTGAAAAGGAGAATAAGTTTAATGCGTTATCGACTGAGTATGGCAAGTTGTCAATTATTTCATGGACATTCGATACTACTATCGCTAAGAGAGATGTTTTTCGTGAGAAAATATCGTTCTTCTGGATGATATAAAATATGCCATTGACAATTTGTGTTGCATGCTAAGTAGTGTCAATGATAGAAATTGAGAGCCTATTAATCGTCGAGGAAGTACGATTATTTTTTGGGCGACAAAGTATCTTAAAATATGATTATTAATATGTTTTGAAAATAAAAAATTTGAAAGTTAATTTGAGATTCTCATATAATTTTTTGAATGAAAAAAATAAATATAGTCTATATGAGTTTTTGAATAATCACACTTGAGATATATCTAAAAAATAATTAAAAATAGAGTTTGAGAAGACTTTTCAAGGTGTAATGAAAAGTGTGATATAGAAAATAATTATAGATATTTTAATTTTATATATTGTGCTAAGCATTATATTAAATTTTTAGGAAAAACACTTTTCATAAGTATTCAATATTTGAAAATACGCTCCAAAAAAGAATAGATTCTTTTATATTCGCTTATATAAAAGGAGACTCTCTATCAGATGCGAATGCCTGAATTCAGTACCTCTGATAGAGAGTTTCCTCTTATATAAGCAAATCTTTTTCATTTGTTTTTGTTAATATAAAAACATCAAAATCTACCAATATGAGAAATTAAACCCTGCGAGGCACCAGTCTAGAACTGGCGCTTCGCAGGGTTGAATTTCTCTTGACAAAATACAATAATCAAATGCTCCAAAGTTTTCAAATTTTTATTAGGAATAGGAGCCTACAAAGCACTGATTATATATCAGTGCCTGGTAGGCTCCTATTCCTTCTCTGAAGCTGGGAAATTTTGTCTGAATAGTTTAACATTTGGACAAAATTTCCCAGCTTCAGAGAAGGAATTGGAGGGTGAGAGGCATATAGGCATACATATACCTCTCACCCTTCAATTCCTCGGGAAAGTTCGAAAACTCGGTCGCAATCAGATGCAATTGCGACCGAGTTTTTCGAACTTTCTATTAGGAATAGGAGCCTACAAAGCACTGATTATATATCAGTGCCTGGTAGGCTCCTATTCCTTCTCTGAAGCTGGGAAATTTTGTCTGAATAGTTTAACATTTGGACAAAATTTCCCAGCTTCAGAGAAGGAATTGGAGGGTGAGAGGCATATAGGCATACTATATACCTCTCACCCTTCAATTCCCTCGGGAAAGTTCGAAAACTCGGTCGCAATCAGATGCAATTGCGACCGAGTTTTCGAACTTTCTATTAGGAATAGGAGCCTACAAAGCACTGATTATATATCAGTGCCTGGTAGGCTCCTATTCCTTCTCTGAAGCTGGGAAATTTTGTCTGAATAGTTTAACATTTGGACAAAATTTCCCAGCTTCAGAGAAGGAATTGGAGGGTGAGAGGCATATAGGCATACTATATACCTCTCACCCTTCAATTCCCTCGGGAAAGTTCGAAAACTCGGTCGCAATCAGATGCAATTGCGACCGGAGTTTTCGAACTTTCTATTAGGAATAGGAGCCTACAAAGCACTGATTATATATCAGTGCCTGGTAGGCTCCTATTCCTTCTCTGAAGCTGGGAAATTTTGTCTGAATAGTTTAACATTTGGACAAAATTTCCCAGCTTCAGAGAAGGAATTGGAGGGTGAGAGGCATATAGGCATACTATATACCTCTCACCCTTCAATTCCCTCGGGAAAGTTCGAAAACTCGGTCGCAATCAGATGCAATGCATTGCGACCGAGTTTTCGAACTTTCTATTAGGAATAGGAGCCTACAAAGCACTGATTATATATCAGTGCCTGGTAGGCTCCTATTCCTTCTCTGAAGCTGGGAAATTTTGTCTGAATAGTTTAACATTTGGACAAAATTTCCCAGCTTCAGAGAAGGAATTGGAGGGTGAGAGGCATATAGGCATACTATATATCTCACCCTTCAATTCCCTCGGGAAAGTTCGAAAACTCGGTCGCAATCAGATGCAATTGCGACCGAGTTTTCGAACTTTCTATTAGGAATAGGAGCCTACAAAGCACTGATTATATATCAGTGCCTGGTAGCTCCTATTCCTTCTCTGAAGCTGGGAAATTTTGTCTGAATAGTTTAACATTTGGACAAAATTTCCCAGCTTCAGAGAAGGAATTGGAGGGTGAGAGGCATATAGGCATACTATATACCTCTCACCCTTCAATTCCCTCGGGAAAGTTCGAAAACTCGGTCGCAATCAGATGCAATTGCGACCGAGTTTTCGAACTTTCTATTAGGAATAGGAGCCTACAAAGCACTGATTATATATCAGTGCCTGGTAGGCTCCTATTCCTTCTCTGAAGCTGGGAAATTTTTGTCTGAATAGTTTAACATTTGGACAAAATTTCCCAGCTTCAGAGAAGGAATTGGAGGGTGAGAGGCATATAGGCATACTATATACCTCTCACCCTTCAATTCCCTCGGGAAAGTTCGAAAACTCGGTCGCAATCAGATGCAATTGCGACCGAGTTTTCGAACTTTCTATTAGGAATAGGAGCCTACAAAGCACTGATTATATATCAGTGCCTGGTAGGCTCCTATTCCTTCTCTAAATGGGAGAAACTTTGTTTGAATAAGATAACATGCGAACAAAGTTTCTCCCATTTAGAGTGGGATTTGGAGGGTGGGAGGTACCTAGATAGACTATGTATCTCTCACCCTCCAATTCCCTCGGGAAAGTTCGAAAACTTTGGTGCAATCAGCAACGATTGCACCAAAGTTTTTGCGTTTAATTGAAGGAATTGCTCTTTATGATATATACAGTTACAATGCATATATCATAAGGAGCAATTCCTTCCAGATATCTGGCAAACTTGCTCGCAATGGTTCACAATTGCGAACAAGTTTTGTCATTTGTCAAGAGAAATTAAACCCTGCGAAGCGCCAGTTCTAGACTGGTGCCTCGCAGGGTTTAATTTCTCATATTGGTAGATTTTTATGTTTTTATATTAACAAAAACGAATGAAAAAGATCCCCTTATATAAGAGGAAACTCTCTATCAGAGGTGCTGAATTCATGCATTCGCATCTGATAGAGAGTTTCCTTTTATATAAGCAAATATAAGAGAATCTTTTTTTGGACCGTATTCTCAAATATTGAATACTTATGAAAAGTGTTTTTTTCTAAAAATCTCAGAATATATTTACAATAGTAAAATAAATAAGATATTTAAATTTATTTTTAAATGCTTTTTTATATGAGATTCTCAAAAGTTATATCAAAAGTCTGTTTTTTCTAAAATCTAATATCATAATTTATTTCTCATTTTAAGTACATCTTAATTCATTTTATTTTCTATATTTTTTCAATATTTTTGAGGGAATTGTGTTGCTTCCCCGATGATAAAATTGAGAGGTTTACACATTGACACTACTTAGCATGCAACATTATCGCTTAATTAAAATAGAATACTAAAAATTTAGTCAGATTCATATGCCTGACAGCTTTGGATTTCGAAGTACCAACCGTTACTCTCGCATTCTGTCTTAATATCGTTAAGGTGGTCTGGTCCATCGACATCCATAATGATCGTATATTGTTCTTGGTTTGCAACAGTATCAACATGTGGTGCTGACATACAAGAGACTATTTCCGCGTGTTGTTTTGCGAGAACATTAACGAGTTTTGCGAAATGGCTTGTTCCATAAGGAACAATAACTGAAACAGAAACTCTGTTTTGTCTTAAGAAAAGAGCTCTGTCGATGCATCTTGCGAGCATTCTAAGTGGAATGTTTCCACCAGAAACTACGCAGCAGATGACTTCGTTTGGCTGGTATTTGAACTTCTTTGATAAAACTGCAGCGAGTGGTGTTGCTCCTGCGCCTTCTGAGATGACTTTAGAGCGTTCTGCGAGAAGAGCGACTGCTTCGGCAACTTCATCTTCAGAGACAATGACAATTTCATCAACTAAGTCATTAATAATGGCGAGGTTGAGATCTCCTGGTGTCTTGACAGCAATACCATCAGCAAGCGGCGTGAGTGTTTCATGGCGGATGCCTTCAATTGCTTTGTTCTTGTTTTGGTTGTAGATCTTGTATGTTGCGGGACATGATGCCATTTGAACACCAATAATGCGAACCTTTGGCTTGAGCGCCTTCAAAGCATAAGCAATACCTGAGATAAGGCCACCACCGCCAATTGGAACAACAACAGTCTGAACCTTTGGAATTTGTTGTGCAATTTCGAGACCAATTGTTCCTGTGCCTGCAATGATCTCTCTGTCGTTATATGGTGGGACAAAGATCCAATCTTTGTGTTGCTCTAATGCTTTGAACATCTCGTTCTTTGCATCATCGAATGTTGCACCTGTTTGGATAACTGTGCCGCCATAGTGTTGTGTGGCTTTGACCTTAGCGGATGGAGCATTCTCTGGCATGAAGATTGTTGCCTTGCAATTGCAAAGAGAAGCAGCAAGAGCGACACCTTGGGAGTGATTACCGGCAGAAACAGCGCAAACAGTCGAGCCCTCAGGAATTGTGCGAAGCTTGTTCAGGGCGCCCCTGAATTTGAATGCCTTGCAGCGCTGCATCGTTTCAAGTTTGAAGTAAATTTGGGCATTAACCATATGGCCAATGTTATCACTGTCAATGCAAGGTGTGACTACTGCATGATCTGCAATACGTTCTTTTGCGGCCAAAATATCGGCCATGGTAAGACAATATTTTCCAGATTCCATTAAAATGAAGTGATAAAATTTAATTTCTCTCAATTAATCATCGTTATTTTTATTCTATGATCTGCAAATTTCTTGTATATAATCATGCAGTGATTAAAATGTAGGCAATTATCAAAATTATTGAGAGTTCTCTAAAAATTGTGTTTATGAAAAATACTAATTAATACCTATTAAAGATGATTTGATATTACGAGAAAATTCTTTTTTAATATTGGGTTCTCAATTTATCAATGCGAGAAAAATTTCAAATCCGTAAATGGTAAGTATCAATTATTGGTTTAGCTTAAGGAAATGAAAAATTAATGAATTCAGTTAAATTTAACGTAAATTGTAGAATTTTATTGAATCTTTACAATTGTAAACATATATATTGAGTGGCCAAACAAAAATTTTTTTGAGAAAAGTTTCATCGTCTAACTTCTTTCAAAACGAATTCGCACTTAAAATTTCTCATGTATTGGTGCATGCTAAGTAGTGTCAATGTGTAAACCTCTCAATTTTATTGTCAGGGAAGCAACACAATTCCCTCAAAAATATTGAAAAAATATAGAAAATAAAATGAATTAAGATGTACTTAAAATGAGAAATAAATTATGATATTAGATTTTAGAATAAACAGACTTTTGATATAACTTTTGAGAATCTCATATAAAAAAAAGCATTTAAAAATAAATTTAAATATCTTATTTATTTTACTATTGTAAATATATTCTGAGATTTTTAGAAAAAAACACTTTTCATAAGTATTCAATATTTGAGAATACGGTCCAAAAAAAAGATTCTCTTATATTTGCTTATATAAAAGGAAACTCTCTATCAGATGCGAATGCATGAATTCAGCACCTCTGATAGAGAGTTTCCTCTTATATAAGGGGATCTTTTTCATTCGTTTTTGTTAATATAAAAACATCAAAATCTACCAATATGAGAAATTAAACCCTGCGAGGCACCAGTCTAGAACTGGCGCTTCGCAGGGTTTAATTTCTCTTGACAAATGACAAAACTTGTTCGCAATTGTGAACCATTGCGAGCAAGTTTGCCAGATATCTGGACGGAATTGCTCCTTATGATATATGCATTGTAACTGTATATATCATAAAGAGCAATTCCTTCAATTAAACGCAAAAACTTTGGTGCAATCGTTGCTGATTGCACCAAAGTTTTCGAACTTTCCCGAGGGAATTGAAGGGTGAGAGATACGTAGTCTATCTATGTACCTCCCACCCTCCAAATCCCACTCTAAATGGGAGAAACTTTGTTCGCATGTTATCTTATTCAAACAAAGTTTCTCCCATTTAGAGAAGGAATAGGAGCCTACCAGGCACTGATATATAATCAGTGCTTTGTAGGCTCCTATTCCTAATAGAAAGTTCGAAAACTCGGTCGCAATTGCATCTGATTGCGACCGAGTTTTCGAACTTTCCCGAGGGAATTGAAGGGTGAGAGGTATATAGTATGCCTATATGCCTCTCACCCTCCAATTCCTTCTCTGAAGCTGGGAAATTTTGTCCAAATGTTAAACTATTCAGACAAAATTTCCCAGCTTCAGAGAAGGAATAGGAGCCTACCAGGCACTGATATATAATCAGTGCTTTGTAGGCTCCTATTCCTAATAGAAAGTTCGAAAACTCGGTCGCAATTGCATCTGATTGCGACCGAGTTTTCGAACTTTCCCGAGGGAATTGAGGGTGAGAGATACATAGTCTATCTATGTACCTCCCACCCTCCAAATCCCACTCTAAATGGGAGAAACTTTGTTCGCATGTTATCTTATTCAAACAAAGTTTCTCCCATTTAGAGAAGGAATAGGAGCCTACCAGGCACTGATATATAATCAGTGCTTTGTAGGCTCCTATTCCTAATAGAAAGTTCGAAAACTCGGTCGCAATTGCATCTGATTGCGACCGAGTTTTCGAACTTTCCCGAGGGAATTGAAGGGTGAGAGGTATATAGTATGCCTATATGCCTCTCACCCTCCAATTCCTTCTCTGAAGCTGGGAAATTTTGTCCAAATGTTAAACTATTCAGACAAAATTTCCCAGCTTCAGAGAAGGAATAGGAGCCTACCAGGCACTGATATATAATCAGTGCTTTGTAGGCTCCTATTCCTAATAAAAATTTGAAAACTTTGGAGCATTTGATTATTGTATTTTGTCAAGAGAAATTCAACCCTGCGAAGTGCCAGTTCTAGACTGGTGCCTCGCAGGGTTTAATTTCTCATATTGGTAGATTTTGATGTTTTTATATTAACAAAAACAAATGAAAAAGATTTGCTTATATAAGAGGAAACTCTCTATCAGAGGTACTGAATTCATGCATTCGCATCTGATAGAGAGTCTCCTTTTATATAAGCGAATATAAAAGAATCTATTCTTTTTTGGAGCGTATTTTCAAATATTGAATACTTATGAAAAGTGTTTTTCCTAAAAATTTAATATAATGCTTAGCACAATATATAAAATTAAAATATCTATAATTATTTTCTATATCACACTTTTCATTACACCTTGAAAAGTCTTCTCAAACTCTATTTTTAATTATTTTTTAGATATATCTCAAGTGTGATTATTCAAAAACTCATATAGACTATATTTATTTTTTTCATTCAAAAAATTATATGAGAATCTCAAATTAACTTTCAAATTTTTTATTTTCAAAACATATTAATAATCATATTTTAAGATACTTTGTCGCCCAAAAAATAATCGTACTTCCTCGACGATTAATAGGCTCTCAATTTCTATCATTGACACTACTTAGCATGCAACAGTATAACTCATATTATAATAGGTCAAATTATAAAGGGGTAATTTTAGCTAAAAGTGACACACCCGTGAAGGGTGTGATTACCGATCGGTAATTTCGACAGTTTAGAATTTAAAATTTTTTATGGAACTGTTGCGAGTTTCATAAAGAATTTAAGGAATATAAGCAAAGATTTGAATCAAAATCTTAGACCTAAGCCGCTCGATTCGCTCGCGGCTTCCGCGAATTACAGATCAGCAAAGATTTGAATCAAAATCTTCGAACTAAGCCGATCGCTTCGCTCGCGCGCTTTCTTTATTATTTAAATTTGCATATTTCCATCAAAAGTTCATAAGGTAAAAAATTTCGTTTATATTATTGCAAAATAAAATCTTCATTATCAAAATAATATTAAATGATAATATAATATAATTTATAAACAACTATTATTTAATAAAGTTTAATTGCCAAGGTTCATCTAATTTTTTGATTTTTAATGTTTTATGAATTTTATTTATCATGTATATATCTAATGAAGATTATATATGTAGAAGATAAGTACCTTAATATGTACGTAAAAATTAATGAAATTATTTTGAATGTAGAACCGAGCAATTTTCAAATTTTGTGCTTTTTTTGAATTTTCTCGATACCAGATAAGTTTGTTGGCTAAATAATATATGGATACCATGTGTCTTATAGATGAATATATGCACAAAGTTTAAGAGGCCATTTCTTTCAGAAACCGAGATTTGTGAATTTTTTCAAATTTTGTGCTTTTTTTGATATTGAAATTTCATTTCATTTTTTTGATGCATATCGATGCACCATGCGAACTTAAAGAAAGGCTATCTTATATAGATGCTATGAAAGCTGTCATTGATAACGAATGCCATGCAGGTTGTCCATATCAATTAAAAAAAATCCAAATTTAGGGGGAACAAAATTAAAATTCAGGTGCAGTGCAGATAAATGTGAAGCATGTATCTCATTTCTAAAGGATGATGAAGAATATATCCTAACAAAATATAATGGAACACATAATCACAATCAAATCAAAGATGAGATAAAGAAATACCACACATTATCACAATCAAATCAAAGATGAGATAAAGAAATACCACACATTATCACAATGCTATCGTCGGGTACTTATTAATTTTATAAAACAGGGGGGTGATCCGAAAATGGCTCAAATTGAATGCGACAAAAAACTTGATCTGGATGATCCACTTAACAGGCCATCTTTTTTGAATGCATCTTCAGATCAAATGAAAACAATTCAGGAAAAAGGAAATAAAAAGATCAAAGGTATTCAAAAGTACGATGATAATAGTTAGTATGGGTTAGTTGGGTACTGTGGCACTGCGCACCTACTTACCCATGATATGTGAATTTGACACTTTACAAAACCGTTAACGTATATTTTACAACACAAACGACAACACTAACTTAACCTTAAATATTTACAAAGCCGCCAACCATTTCACCTCACTAACGAACTCACTAATGAAAAAATAAACGTTCTCATAAATTTTCTTCTATATCTTCATCGTCAATGTTAACTCTATTGTAGTCATACTTGAATCATAAAGTTTCTCAAGTTTGAAATGCATAGTCTTGTTAACTTACCTTCATCATCATAAGTTTTTATAAAACTACCATGACAATCTTTATACACAGTCAATGTATAGTCAACTGGTCTAGGATGAAGTGTAAAGAACATGTTATACTCAGGAAGGAAGAATAAATGTTTAAATGTATGTTTGTTATATTTTTCGATTTGTATGAGTTGCTTTTGTTCTGTCATTTATATAAAAATAAAATAAAAAATAAAAAAAAATAAACTTAAAAATTAATGATATCACCACCCTCACACGTATGAAAACATAGCGCAAAAATAAATTTAGGTGAAGTGGTGAGATCTCACCTCTTTTTTCACCTGTTTTTTCACCCTGTTGAATTCATTGCTTTATAACTCTCTTCCTTGGTTTCTTTTAGTTGCTTTCTTCACGTCTGTCTACTGTCCTTTCTTCTTCGTCCGTAATGATACCAGTTACTTCCACCAGTCAATGGGTCAAATGGTCTTTCGTAAGGGTTTCCATACATTCCATAGGGACCATACGGAAGAATACTGGTGGAGAAGAAACATTTTCTTTAGTTCCATCGAATCTATTTAAATGCATTGTTTCACCTTTCATCTGTCATTAAAGTCTTTTGCGTGTTTTGCAAACTCATCGTCCTTTCCTAAAGCA